CATTACTAAAAAATGTCTTTATCAAAAACCAAAACTATCAAATTGTTTAAGAGCATATATTAAATCAGGATGATCAGGAAATTTGCACTTTATCTGAAAATGATGATTTTACTGTTGCTCCTGAAATTGTAAACTGCCAAAAATATATACCTAATAGTTTACAGTGTTTGTTGTCACCTGAATCAACTTTAAAATGTATAATTTGCTCAGAAGGATACACAACTTCAATCAAAAATGGAGATTGCTATAAAAATGATCAATCAAATTCAAAAATAGTTATTGAGGGTGATACCTCATTAAACAATGGTTGGATTTAAAGAATTTAAAGTTTTATGATGCAATTCTTACCAAACAAATACTCTTATCCTTAATCAGATGCTGATTCAATTATTAGAGGGATAATTGTGAAATGTCAGTAAGACTATACATAAGGTGGATAATCTAAATGCGAAAAATTTTGTGATTCCTCTTGTCTATCCTGTTTAACAAATTAGGATGGGTTTTATTGAGCAAAATGTCCTTTGAACTATTATTAACAGCCTATCAGAGATCAATAAAAAGGAGAGTGTTCTGAGTGCCCTCAACTATGCTAAATATGTTAAAGTAGAACTACAGATGAGATTAATGTGATTTATAATTAATATTTATATAGAAAGTGTAACCTAGCTATGTCTTAAATGATTCAAATTACATTTATATGAAGAAATGTTTAAGACCTATTAAAGACTCAAATATCATTTATGATTCTTATTGGCAAAGTGCCAGATATTGCTTAGAATCAAATTGTCTAAATTAACTTTCTTATGAATTGAATTTACATACTGCGGAGGTATTGTTGTATTTTGGCCATTTGGCTATGACTATGGTATTAATATTAATTATTGCAATCAAATGGGTATAGATAAGATTACTATTATTTTTAAATACGAAATTCAGGGCCCATTTTGTGGGATAAGATATAGTCTTTCTCCCTACACCTTATTAAAGTCAAAGATATTCTCTCTACGTTAAATTTATTTTTAATTGATATCTGTTGATACATTACTATTAAGACCTTTATATTCAATTAACATTACCAACTTTGATTAGGTTGAGATAAAACATTTATCTTTTAAATTTACTCAATCAAGTGCATTTGTTATTTAAAATAATAATAGTAGAGTGGATTTAAATCTGATTGATTTTGCATTTGAAGGATGTAATTTTACAAATATGCTTTCGTAATTTCAAAATTAGATGTTTGGAGATATTGTAGCTAAGAACTTTTCCATATTAGATTCTACTCTAATTAACACCTCAATCTTTAATTTAGAAGCATTTTAATAAAATGGTATCATAAAAATCAAAAAATTTTTGATTTAAGGATGCATTTTGTAAGATTCAACAATATTTTAGTTTGGAAACGACAATTTTAATATATTCATCTCAGATTTAATTATAGATTAATGCGAATTTTAGAATTCATCGATATTTTACTTCTATGATTACTTTAGAGATTTAACATCTCTCACTATCTATAATTTGACAATTAAAAATAGTATATTTAATCAATCATATTTAATCAAGAATGCGAATTTAGTTTAAATAAGTATAACTAATCTAAATTTGATAACTAATCATCTATTTTCATCAGATTTAATCTCATTTAATTATCATCTAACTTTGCAAACCTCCTATATATTTTAAAATTATTTTATTGAGTCTCAATTATTAAAATTGCTTTTGATAGCGTCTTCATATAAAGTAAACATCAGAATTGATTCTCTGACTATAAAATAAAATGAATTTAATTAATATGGCTTATTTTTCTTATACTCAAGTTAATTAAGCAATGTTTATTTGGAATTATCATTCATCCATATAGAAGAGAATTAGAAGTTTAGTATAGTAAAATAGAATAATTTTGTAAATCTAAATATTGAATCCAAAATTAATATAAAGCAAAAAAATACAATCTTGTATTCTATACAATCGATGATTAAAATGCTCTTTTTATAATTTAGTGTTATTATTTGAATATCTAGGATGTAGCAATACTTAATGTTAATGATATGGCCATATTCAAAATTTATGAAAGCATTTAAGTCATAATTGAAAATGTTATGTAACAAAATAGCTAATAAACATTTAAAGTATCATTGTCACTTC